GTTCAAAGCCTCAAATCTGTTCCTGAGATGGTTCTGAAATTCAGGTGGGATAGACTCAAAGTCATATTTTAGTTGCCTTGTATTTGGTTTAATTTTCCTCAGCTTTAGCTTGAATTTGCATATCTGATTCTTATGCATACCATCAGGTGAAATCCAGGTATATAACCTGCGTTATTTGTTATGTATTTGCTGTGAATAAGTCATTGATTGTTGTTTGTTGGGAAAAATATGAACACTGAAACACAGGACTGGAAGAATAAAAACCAAACCAAAACAAGTAACAGAAGAATATAACCACAAACAACTCCCAGCCACCCCCCATGCCCCGCCAATCAAGCTAAGCGAACCAACTGGATTATTTTTTTGTATGAACATATTATATATTTATGAAGTTTATTGTATCTGCAAATTTCTGAAGAATAAATCATTCGAACTTGCTAACCATCTCAAATCGAGCACATCTTTTGAGATGTGAAAAAAGAAAAAAAATTCGTTCTCTTTATTTCCCCAATGCTTTCTTTCCTTAACTCCTTCACCTCTTCAATCTCATATCTTTTATTCTTTCCTTCTTTTACTCATTCATTCATCCGTTCAGCGAGGAGCTGAATTTTAAAACGTCATTCAAAATGGTGCCACGTCATCTGTGTGGGCCAAGAGCCGGGAGGTGTAGTCACTTTTCCACTTGCCAGCGTGGACCTCTGCGGAGCCCCGCCCTCAGAGCTCACCTGCTCGGGGAAGACGGCGCCCAAGGCGCTGTCACTTGCTCCACTTCGGGTCCCCTCCCCCTCGCTCCGAGGCCTCCTCGCCCCTACCGAATCCCGGCTGGCAGAGCGCAACGATTTGCATATCTCTACCTTTGTTCCCAACCGGCGGCCAATCAGCTCACGGGGCGAGAAGAGTGGGGAGCTGGGCGGGGCGCCGGCTCCGGCTTCGGCTCTCGCTCGGTCGGCTGCGCCGCGGGTTCTAGAGCGGGTTGGAGCCGCCGCGGGCGCGCCGCGCACTGCAGCTCCAGCCACCGCGGCCAGCGCTGCACCTACATCCGCGACCGCCCGGCTGCCTCTTCTTGGCCGGGTCCTGAAACGAAGACAAAGCGGCTGCCGGCCAGGCTCCGCGGAAGCTGAATTGACCTGCAGCTGCCGAAAACTCCAGGCTTCAAGATGGTCTGTGGAGGTTTTGCGTGTTCCAAAAACTGCCTGTGCGCCCTCAACCTGCTCTACACTGTGAGTATGCTGATCTCGCCGCCTCTAGGCTTGGCACCTGCTTGAAAGCTCTTGGCCTTCCTGGCGAGGCCAACGACTCCCTCGCTGCAGTCTGCACCCCTCTCCCGTCCTCCCAGGCTCTGCGCGCCCCCGGCCTCTCCATCCGTCCCCTGGGGGACCAGGAGCGGGCGCTTGCCGCAGTCTCTTCCGAACCCTCATTGTGAAGCTGCCTTTCTGCCTCGCTGGCCTGGTCTCGGCCACATTGCTCCTCCCCGCCCCCTCACCCACCGCCTTGCCGTTCAGCGTTTTCATCAGACCCTGCTTTCTCCCATCTCTGCCCCTTCTGCTGCTCAGTCCTCAATTACAGATCCATCTTGGGCATGTTTGGGGCAGGAGACCCATTTCGAGTTTGAGGACAGTTTTGCAGAATTTCTTGATTTGAAACGAGCAAGGAAGGCATATAGCCCTTGTGCATCTAGGGTAGCGCTACGTGCTTTTGTGATTTTAATTGAGGCCGCTGAGTAGGTTCACAGGATGTCTGCCGCTTCCTTAGTTTGTTTCGTGCTTACATAAAGGGATCTTTTCTCTTTTTGTGTTGCCTTTTCTGCTCATATTTGATGCGTTCTCCATGTGCCTTCTGCCTTATATTGATATCTGAACTCTTTCAAACTAAGTCTAGCAAATAAGGCGCCTCCACCCAAGGCGTTTCTTCTCCCAGACTGCTCGCCTGCTTTAATTTTAAAGCCGCAGGCTGTCTATGTAATTTGCAATTCTGGGAGAACCAGAGGGTGGGCTGGGCTGGTTTATATTCCCAGCTTTGTGTCCCAGGTTTTACAAACGTGATCTGAGTTCTTCATTCTGACAACCTTCGGAGGAAAAGAGCTAGCTAGGCCTAAATTTTATCTGTAAGGTAACATATGAAAAAAAAAGCAACCTTGCTAATAGGTTTACGGAGCTTGTAGCTGGCATGTCAGCAGTGAAACCCAAGCTTTGAAATCCAGGTCTTTCTTTGGAATCCCGAATTCCCCATGCCTCTCCAGGGCGGAAGAAACTTCTCCATTGCCATCATACCTTCATCACTTGTTCCCTTCTATAAATACACCTGGCCCTTTGCAGCACCCACCCTGAAAACAAACCAAACTCCCCCGGCCTTAGCAGAGAGCGAGGCCATCTGTGCAGGCTTAGGTTACATCGCTTGGAATGGGGCGGCTGCTTGTGGTCAAAGGCAGAGGCTGGGCTAGAGTAGAGCAAGCCTTTCTGGCTAATTAGTGGGAATAACAACATGGTCACTAATCGTAGACTTGGGAAAAAAGCCATTCTGGAACACCTGATAAATACCACTCCTTGTAATTAGAGGTCGTGGTCAAGTGTCTGATTAAAATCCACCTTTGTCTCTTTTGAAGCTTGCTTATCACATTAAGTAAATGCTGACCAGTTCTTTAGGTATTTTCATTTAATTAGCATAAATGGCCTGATTAAAATTTGGCAGTTCCCATTTTATGCCCCCATTCTAGTTTTCCCCTCATTTTCTCCCCATTTAGTTATCCCTTCCCCAGACACTTCATCTTACAGTGTCTGCAGACAGTAGAATGTTTTGTAGGTTTACTAGACTAAAACAGATTAATATACAATGTATTTTTTTAAAGACAGATTACTTTTAAATGTAGTTTTATTACTCTCAAACCATAATTTCCAGTTGTATTTACTGTGTTTCAGGAAAGCAAAGAGAAAATTCTGATGGAGTATACTAGTGCTAATTAATAATCTGTTCTAAATTATTGGCCTTCAAAGTATTCGATTGATTTTTAACAGCTGTGCTGTAAAACAATTAAATTTAATAGTCAGCTTTTAAAAACCGTAGTCTTTTTAGGCATTATCCTGAAATGTATTCATGGCTCCTTGCATCTTGTGCATTGTGGATAGGTTTAAGTAGGGACAGACCCAGTTTAAATTAGAGACAAATGACAGGTAAACTAGTGCGTCAGACTCAAAACTCAAAATCACTACTGTGGAGTCAGAACCTCCATACAGCTGAATCTGCAGTGGGCTTTTGATACTGGGAGTCGTTTGATGAGGATATTGCCCATTTCTTCCCTGTGGAGCTGCTGGTAGACATGAACCATCAGACGTGTGAGGCCTATGGGTTAGCACGTGTACTATCTCCCCAGACGATGCCATCAGATGCTGAAAATGTACCAAGGCTGTTATTGAGATTCCATGCCTTCCCCATGCATTTTATGGTAGGATGTGATGAAGTGCTTGAAGGTGGAGTTGAGGCTCTGGAATTAGGTGGACAGTTTAAAGTATACATTGCATAAATTTTTTAATAGATATCAGTTCCACCCTGGTCACTACCTCTAAGAGATGTAGAATTAGACCTAAGGTCATTTCTTAAAAATGAAGTGAAACATGCACTGGCGATGAAAGCAGGAGATGTAAAGGCCATAACTTCCTTTAAAGGTTATTACTGTTATGTGAAAGTGGTTTCCTTAGAAATTTAGGCTTTTACCAGCTCAACTACTGAGAATTAGGTAGCCGCATAATGAGCCTGGATTCATGATCTGTCCAGAAAGCATGATGTCATTAAAGCAGGTTGGAAGAGATATCATGAAATTTGTCATGGGCATTATCATCATGAGGCCAAAGGTTAATAGTTGGTTCATTTGTTGTTGTTACTCTATGCTTTCACTGATTTAATTTTTAATTAATAGGAACTTTAGAGGTTAGTACTATTAGTGTAGTGTATATAAACAAATTAAATTTGAGATGGAAAAAGGAAGCTAGACATTATATTCATGATGCTGGAAGAGAATGACTTGCCTCAAAACCTCCTTCATTTGGGGACATTATTTGTTGAGTTGCCTATTATGTTCAAGGCCCTATTCTTGGCTCTTAGAACACAGCAGTGAACCAAACAGGGCTTTACAATTAATATGCTTTTAGAAAGCCTTTAAAAAAAAATAAAAAAGATTACTTTTTCTACATATGTTACAAGTTTCCTTTAGAGGATAAACATTTGCTCATTATGTGCCCTCTGTGGAGAACTGTAGGAAACAATAAAACACAAATAAAACCAAGTACATGTCCTGTGAAGACAGCAGACAACATCTGCTTGGGAGACAAGAGGTGGGGGAAGTTAAATGCTATATAAGGATAGAATTGACTGCAAGTGCTATAAAAGTTTACTAGCACGGGAGGTATTTGTGACTTATTGTTGTTGATTGCCTTGAGTTGAACATGTCTATATTGACCCTATGAGTAATATTGACATTTATCAAAGTTCATAGAGTTTCCGGAGGCATGTTGTTTAGGAAGTGGATGCCACTCCTGCTTCCAGAAGTTGAAAAAATGAAGGAGTGATTCAACTGGGGAGATGTAGGAAAAACCTCCTACAATTTCTGTTTTCCTATAGCTTTTCATTCATTGTTTGGCTGAAAATTGATCACCAAGGCGTTTTAGAGGGATATGGAAGGACGACTTCTCCCAGTTTCTGTTACACCAGCAAGTCTAGTCTTTAAGATTTTGAATTTTGTTCCACATTGGTTTTCCCCCCTCACTATTGTCCAAGGCTGCCTTTGTTACCAAGGAGATCCTGGTCAAACACCATCTGGGTGGGTCTTTCAAGACCAGTTAGGATATAAACACAACACTATTTTGGGAAAATGGTTTTGATTGTTTTTAATAGGTTATTTTGTAATGAATTTAGTAGATTAAAAATATGTAGACAAATAGTAAAAAAAAATATTTGTGAGACAATTTAGAAAATCCAAAATAAATGTTATATTAAAACATAACATTCTCAAAGCTTAGTAATTGTGCCTTTTATCAGAAAGGGGAAAAGCGCAATCAAAAATAATTGACTTTGTTCAGTGGGACAAAACTTGAAGCAAAGCACCCACAATGTATTTGCTCATTTAAAACAGTCTTTTAGTCTTGTTATTATCTTAACTTCCTCTCCATTTGGAAGTTCTGTAAGCACAGCATTTATTCCTTCTTTTTGTTTGGAGTTGTCGTTTTCAGATTGTCATATCTTACTCTTTTTTAGTCATAGGTTTATTTTATTTTTGATACCTAAAGAAAGGACAAAATGGACTGACCAGTGACTGTAGCAGTGTATTCTAGCCTTTGGGAGATCTTGAAGATGGCACAAGATAGAGCAGAGTTTTGATCTATTTTTGGGTAATAAATGTTGATAGTTAAAGAGCGGCTTCAGGCTTTTTGTTCATAGGGTTGCTATGAGTAGTGCTCGCCTCTTAAGACCATCAACAACAACAGCAGTGCACTGGCTAACTTTGAGAAGAATGGGAATCCCAGAACACATGATCTGCGCTTATGAGAAACCTATACTTCTGACCAGTTGTCAGAACAGAGCAAGGAAACACTACATGGTTCAAAAGTGGAAAGGATGTATGCCAAGGATGTGCCCTATCTCTATACCTTTTCAGTCTATATACAGAATAGATTATCTAGGAGGCTGGGCTCTATGAGGAGATATGTGGCATCAGGATTGGAGGAAGACTCATCAACAATCTCCGTTACACAGATGACACACCCTGCTTGCTGAAACTGAGGAGGACCTGAAACACATGCTGCAGAGGGTCAAGGACTGCATGCAGCCTTCAATATGGCTTGAAGCTCAATAACAAGAAAACAAAGATTCTCACCACTGAGCTGATTGGCAGCATTGTGATGGTTGGTAAAGAGATTGAGATTGTAAACAGCTTTAGTTTGCTTGGCTCCACAATCAACGCTCTTGGCACCAGCAGCCAGGAAATGAAAAGATGTATTGTGATGGGAAAGTCTGTTGTCAGAGACCTCTCCAGAGTACTTAATAGCAATGATGTCACTCTGGAGACTAAGGTGCACCTGATCCAGGTCATGGTCTTTGCAATCACTTGCTATGTATTAGAGAACTGGACAATGACTAGGAATGATAGGAGGAGAGTTGATGCCTTTGAGCTGTGGTGCTGGAGAAGAGTATTGAATATACCATCAACTGCTAAGAGAACGAACCTGTTCGT